TAGACGGGGTTCAGTACCTTCAACTGTAGAAACTTGAGTAGATCGTTCTCCCAATCGAACGATGATACCATCAGGCGATATAGATATAGTGGTACGTAGCTTAGCCATAGTAGAGCATCCAATAATAACAGGAGTACTCAACTCATCAGAGGCGAGTAGGAAGGTATCTTTTGTAAAGGTATTCCCATAGCCGACCTCTAGCTCAACCTTTCCTAGAATAGAGAGGCTTGAGCCATTAGCAACATTTACCCGCCCTTGAGTAGATGGGTCACCAAAACGTAGCTGTTTGCTAGTGATCTTTCGTAGAGTCCCAACTGCGATAAGGGAGACGTCAGCGCCGGTATCGTAGAGAACAGGTCGTACTACACCGCATACCGATAGATCACCAACCACCATAGAGATCCGTGAGGACTTTGAAGGCGTTGTTGAACAATATGCTCCGTTGTTGGCATGAAGAGCATTTGAGTTAGAGTTGAGGTCGGTTGAGCTAAGGGGTGAGACCCAAATAGTAGAGGCTGAAGTGGTAGACGATCCAATAATATTAGCCTTAGAAGATTCATCCATAACTTGAGCATTCGTAGAAGGCGTTGTGGGACCAGGCTTGGCTGAAGAGGGTCCACTCTGCCGCTTACCACCCATCTTGAACTTGTGTTTAGTAGACTTCATAGTCTTGCCTTTACCTTTCTTGTGAGAGTCAGAGTCAATGGGCTTGGACGCAGGGCATACATAGGCTAGATGTCCATGCTGTAGACATCTTTGACAGTTCAAGGACTTAGGGGGGATTTCACACGAATCCTTAGTGTGATTAGGATTACCACACTTAGAACAACGGGACTCGAGGTCGCTAAGCTTACCACGACATAGACGTGCTGGGTGACCAGATTGAAGGCACCGATAGCACTTGATAGACATAGGGTCAGCACCAGTAGAACATAACTGTGGCTCCTCATAGTCGGTAGTCGTATCACCTAAGGTGTGAACCTTAGAGGTAGCTGGCTTGGCGGTCTTATCATTAGACCTCAAGCGAGAATTAACGATCTCATCATAGAGTTTCTGTCGTTGTTCACGGCCTAGACGTCGGCGCTCAAAGTTAGATAGATAAGAGACAAACTTCTCATAGGAAACCTTAGGGTCACTCAGTTCCTTGTCGACCTTTTCTCGTAGGTAGTCGGAGTTGAGACCATCGTAGAGACGACGTTTGAGGATGTACTCGTACGTACGAATACCCATGAAGTGAAGTTCGGTGACAATAGACTCGAGCCTCTTGACATACCTAGCGAGAGACTCAGAGTTACCTTGACGACAAGTAACGAACTTGACTTCAGCTTTCGCAATAGCATCATCATTGTCATAGAGCTTGCGAATAGTAGAGCATAGCCGATCGAGGTGTTTCTCATAGTCGACATAACATCTAGTAGGCGGTTCAGTA